GACGGTCGGTCCTTGCTCAATTCCTGTGCGTTGCCGAGTGGTGGTGTTAAGTCGGGCCTGTCCTTTTACAGGAGGGATGTACAACGATAGTTAAACAGTAGTTTGGGGGCTATTTTCATGTTAGTTTTTTTCGAGCATCTGAGCAGTATTTGTTCAAACGTTTTTTCCAAGTTTTTGTCTAACATCTCCCTGTAGGGGGCCACAGGCCCGACCTAATTGTGGCGTCGCCCTCCCAGGCCCGGATGCAAGCCGATCGACCCGAGTCGATATCGATCTGCCACGCGAAGGGGGGGGGTATGGGGGAGGGGGGCAGGCTTCTTAGAAGGGGGCTCTGCTTCTCAGAAGGCGCAGGCCTCGTCTGTGGACGTGAATCAGCCCGCGCCTGCTAAGTGTAGCGGCCTCCTTCGGAAAAGCCTTCCCCCCTCTCCCTACCCCCCTTCCCCTCCTGCGCGCCGCCAGCTCGAATCTGGCAAGCCCGACCGGATTCGCTTCCGACGTTCGGCGGCCCGGTGCGGCACGATGCTCGCACGGCGCTGTTTCTGCACCCTGGTGCGCACGATCCGATTGAGATTGTTTTTTTATCCTCTGGGGGGTAACGCTCGTTACCCGGGCCTCTCCCCCCCCCCCCCCCCCCCGTAACGGTAACGCTCGTACGCGGGGGGGGTCTCGGTCTTCCCCTCCAACATGCTGGTGCCCGAAGGCATGCGCACTGTGGTGTGGTGGTCGCAGGCGCACTGTGGGCGCTCGCAGGCCATTGCGGCGCTCGCATGCGCGATGCTGGTGCTTGCGGGCTTTGCGCTTGTACTCGAATCGTCGTCGTCGTCGTCGTCGTCGTCGTCGTCGTCGTCGTCGTCGTCGTCGTCGTCGTCGACGCCCGAAAACGGCCTCCGGAGGCCGAAACAGGCGGCAAACGTCGTCGTCGTCGTCGTCGACCTCGTCGCTCGTCGCTCGTCGATCATCGTCGTCGCGCGCGCGGGCGCGGGCGTGGTGCCGGGACCACGCGGCGGGCTTTGCGCTTGTACTCGAATCGCAAGCCACTGTGGTGCTCTCAGGCAGAGAGTGCTGCTCGCGCGCATACTATGGCGATCGCAGAGCGCCCCTGCTTCGCCATACCCCGCCCAGCCCAAGCGTTACCGTTACCCGGGGGGCACGACCCCCCCCCCCCCCGGGTAACGAGCGTTACCGGCCGGAATAAAAAATGATCTCATTTCCATCCTGGGCTCCTGCGCCGGCGCAGCCCGATCCGACGAGCATCTCCACTCGAGCCGATGTTCCGATTCGGAGCCGACTGATTTTGCCCTTTGCTCCTGCAGCGCGGGAGGCGCGTGCCTCCCCCCCGCCTTCTCCGCGCGCGCGCAGGACCAGACGTCTCCCTGGCCGGACTCGCGGGCCGGCCGTGCGAGGGAGAAGGACGGGCTCCGCCTGCCGTTGCCGCCGTCGCCGCCGACGTAGCCGCCGCCGTATCGCCGTGCTCGTCGTTCTCGCCGTCTTCGTCGCCGTCGTCGAGGCCGTCGCCTTCAACGTCTGCGCGATTGTCGCCTTTGTCATCGCCAGCGTCGGAAGAGGTGGAAGCATGTAAAGGAATGGCGGACGAGGGCGAAGATGAGGTCGTTAAGTAGACGGGGGAGGGAAGAGCGAGGATGTGGAAGGAGGAGGTGAAGGAGGACGGGGCAGGTGGAGGAGGATGAGTATGACGGGTGAGGTGGATTATTAGGACGAGTGAGCAGAGCGGGGAAGGGGGGAGGTGCACGTGGAGGGTGAGAAAGGAAGTGGGGCGGAGGAGGACGAGGAAGAGGGAGGGGGGGACAAGCAGGAGGAGGGGGAGGGGGACGAGAAGGACCAGCATGAGCGATATGAGGAGGGGGAGGATGGGTAACCCTGGCCATCCCCACCTCTGGCAACATTTGAATCCTGAAAATCTGAGAGTGGCATGCTTTTCCTTACCAGGCGCTTTCGCCCTGTCATGGCTCCTGGGACCCCCGCGCATCGATTCGGCTCGCCACGTGCTGCAGGAAGCTGGAGTCGAGGGCTCCAGTCGCGGCGTCGGGTCGAAGGCAGGGCACGAGGGCAGGTAGGAGTCGAGGAATCCAGGATCGAGCTTGTGTTTCCAGGCTGCCCCTCCTCCTCCCAAATTTGGCCTCTCCGCTCCAAGCGCACAAGCGCTCAAGCGTGAAGCAAAAACATTCTCGATAGGAACCGACCTTCGCGGCGAAACGTGAGATTAACATGGTGTGGTGACGTTAACCTCTCCAGCCACCTGAGCCCCAAAAACAAACAGAAATGGTTCCAGGCTGCCGAAATTGGGCCAGCGTGGATTGGTTCGGAGAAGCGCGACGCATCTCAGCGGCGCTGCGGATCGATCCGCAGCCAGATCTTCCCCATCCCGTCGTCGCCGATGCATCGGCGATGCGGTGGGATTCTCAGGCCCAATCGATTCCATCCCCATTCGTCAGCGGCGAGCGATGGGGGGAAGCGAGAAGGAGGAGGCTTTCCCAGAAGGCGGCGGGGCTCCTCCGAAGCCCTACGGGCTTCTGAGAAGCTTTCTTCGGTGAAAGCGCAGACAATTTTTCTGAAGGGCCCTAGGACATCGGAGCATTTTCAGAAGGCCCGCCCCTTCTCCAAGTAGGAGATCGACTGCATAAATTGATGAGCCCCGGAATTGATTTCTCGTCGAATCTGCCAACGTACGTAACAGATTCGCAGGTCAGCCAGCATGTGATGTATTGGTTTGTAGATCCAACGAGCAGATCGAATTTGGGGTACATCAATGTTGCAGTCGATCTCTGACTCGATTTCTCGCTTCCCCCCGGGCGTGCCGCCGCATTCGAAACGCATCTGGAGCCGAGCGTGTTTTTTTTTTGGTTCACTCCGGGCGCCGTCGCTCAGTCCTTGGGCGCACGGGACCCGTCGCCGTTGTTTTACCAGTTTTGGCTCCAGGTCCAATGTTGGAGCCGGTTTGTTGCTGTTTCCGGTTGCCGTTTTTTTTGCTGTTTCCATTTTCAAGAGACGTTGTTTGGGAAATGGTGAAACAAACGGCCCTTGCCGTTTCCGGGGCTCACTAAGTTCTCCGGGAGGGGTGGAGGGGAGGATCGAGGAGTCGAGGATTCGAGGAGTCGAGGATCGAGGCTTTGCTGGACCGCGCCGAGTGGGCAGCCGAGCGAGCTTCAGAAGTTCCGGCAGGAGGGATCGAATCGAGCCCTCGGTCGGCCGCCGAGCGGGGTAGATTTGGAGCCCACTCGGCGGCCGACTGGGCTCAGACGCTGGATGGGCTCAGGAAGGAACCCTGGGGGATCTGCCTGGAGGTCCCCAGAGGCCCCCAGAGATCCTCGGAGGCCTCCCAGGAGTCGAAGAAGAAACAACGCTCCCCAGAGGCCCCCCTTGGTGGCGCCTCCGGCGCCGCCCCTGGCGCGCTCCGCGCGCCAGGGAGGGGGGTCCAGCGCAGATCCAAGAAATCCGCGCGGAGCGCCAAAAGTTATGTTTATGGCGTTTCTTCTTGTTCTTCTTCTAGATCTGCCGGGAGGTCCCTGGAGACCCCTGGATGTAGCCTCGCAGGCCTCCCGGAAGCCTCGCGCAAGGCCACACGTGGATCCCGTGTCGCCTTCCTCCCGCCTCCATTCCTCTCCCTTCCCCTGGGAGGTCAACTTCTGATTTAGCCCCGGTCCGACATCGAATCCGGCTCGCTCCGGCTCATTCCTCGGGCGCCCCCAAACCGGCTGGTGACCACCTCGTGCGGTGAGTCGGTGGGGATTCGGGGTCACCGCACGGTTTTGGGACTCGGGTCGTTCTCCGAGGACGTCTCGGGCGACAGGGGCCTCCAGGGTCCCAAGACTGTGCGTTGACGGACCGTGCGGTGAGGTCTTCGGGGATTTCGAGGCCACCGCACGGTCTGTCACCGCACCGTCTCGGGACTCCCAAATTCCCGATCCATCCCGCTTCATCCCGCTTGCTCCGCGGCCTGGCCCGTCGCAGCAGCCTCCCCAGTTGGGCCTGCTTCCTCCCTGTAGTCCTTCCGACGCAGGCCTCCCCCAGCAGTTGCCTCCTCCCCCCCTCTCGGAGGGGGGAGATGCGACACCGGCACCACCAGGGGGCCCACCTCCATCGAGGAGGTCCACGATGCCTCCCCGAGCTGGAGGCTGGGGATGCCTCGAGCGAGAGGGGGGGCCGCACCACCAGGGAGGACCCCCCCTCTGCTCCTCGCACCTCCTCGCCCTGGTGGTGCTGGCGTCGCCCTCCTGGAAGTGGGAGCCGTGGGGCCTCTCGCCTCCGCGGCGAGGCCCCCACCGCCCAGGAGGGCACAGCGCCTGGCGCGGGGGGGGGGCGGCAGCGCCTGGCCTTGCGTCGGGCATGCCCCCCTCTGCAAGAGGAGTGCTCAAACGCGGTGAACAAGACAGTCTGGGCACGAGTTCCTTCGTTGCGTCTGTCAATGCTTCATGCGTGCTGGGGTATCCTGTGTTTTTCCTCCAGAGTCCGCCTGCAGGAGATATGCCCGACCTTTCGCTGGCGGGTCCTGCTTCGCCTTGCTCCCGCCTCCGCCCCGGCTCCGGCCGCTTCTTCTCGAGGGCCAGAGTGGCCCACGACGCGCTCGGAATCCCTAAAGTGGCGCCCGCGCTTGATGTATTGCAAAGGAGATTGGCGGCACATCCTCCCGCGAGATCTCTTCTAATCTTGCTTTATGATGTTCCAACTTACTTTAGCCTTGACCACCAGGGAGAACTTCGAGCCCCAAGAAAGTAGGGTTTTCACGCGTCGGGCCCTGGGAGACACTCGCCCGACACTGTTCCGACACGTGTTTCGACACCGCCTCGACGCTTGCCCAGGTGCTCGAACGCAGTTCTGGGATGTGGTCCTTATAGGCACGATGGGGGCCACGCAGCTCTTGCTGCTCACACTCTCTCTCCTCCCCTCCTCCTCGAGCGGGAGGGCCCTCTGTGGGGGGGGGGCCTCCCCGCCCCCCTCGGCGAGGCCGCGCTCCCCCCCCCCCCCCCCTCCCCCGCGCGCGCAGGAGGGCAGCGCCTGGCCCTCCTTCCTCCGCCGCTCGAAGAGCCGCGACGGCGGCAGGCCCCCGCGGGGAGCCGCGGGGCGTGCCGCCGCCGCCGCCATCGCCGCAGGTCGTCGTCATCGCGACCATCAACATCGTCCTTCTCCTCCTCCTCCTCCTCCCTCCTCCTCCTCCTCCTCCTCCTCCTCCTCTCCTCCTCCTCCTCCTACTCCCTCCTCCTTCTCCTCCTCCTCCTCCTCATTCTTCTCCTCCTCCTCCTCCTCCTCCTCCTCATCATCATCATCATCGTCATCATCGTCAGCATCACCATCGTCATCATCATCATCATCGTCATCGTCATCGTCATCGTCATCATCATCATCATCATCATCATCATCATCATCATCATCATCATCATCATCGTCATCATCATCATCCTCATCCTCATCCTCATCCTCATCCTCATCCTCATCATCATGATTGTTCGCGCTGCCGTGTGTCTTGGACTCGCCAGATGGAAACAATCAGATCCTCGGATCTCTGGGGAGGAGGGATCCAGCCGACCCATTCCCTCCCTGGGACCGGTTTCTCATCCTAATCCGTTGTTTGATAATCCCGAGGCCTGGTCAGGGCCCCCGAAGGCCCCAAATAACGAAAAACTGTCCGCCGTGATTGTTTCCTGACCCGAGGGGGTATGGGACTGGAGGATTTCGGCCTCCAGGGCCCGTCACTTCTCGGGCTTGGGTACCACCAGAACTGGATCCGGGACGAAAAACCATGCGCGGGGAAGGGGTTTGTCGGGGGCCCTTAAACGGGGTGTTGACCACACCGTGTGGTGAGTCGGTGGGCATTCGGGGTGGCCGCACGGTTTTCGGACTCGGCTCGTTCCCCGAGGACGTCTCGGGCGGCTGGGGCATCCGAGGTCCCAGAACCGTGCGTTGACGGACCGTGCGGAGAGGTCTTGGGGGGTTTCCGGGGCCACCGCACGGTCTGTCACCGCACCGTTGCGGGACTCCAAAGGCTGGGACCTCTGATGCGGGCAATAGTTATATCCACATCCAGTTCGTCTTGGAGTTTTGGGCTCTCTTCCCCAGAATCTGGAGGCGCACTGGATACGGATGATTTTTTCCCCAGAAGGTTTTTGTTTTTTATCCATGTCCACTGTGGCTCGGCCTTGCGGCACCCCTTCCCAACAAGTCGACGACGCTCTGGATATGGATATAAGTATTGCCCGCATCAGCGGAATGGACCACGCGGATGCGGCGGCGCTGGGGACACAGAGGGGGGAAGCGTGAAGTTGTGGGGTGGAAGGGACGGGGGGGGAGGGCAGGGGGCACAACGCGCGTTACGGCCCAAAGGGTAAAAAATAAGCATTGTCCTACGAACACGGAGCCGAGGTATATGGTATGGGCAACGCGGATGGACGACGTCACGTCGGCGGATGTGTGTGACGGTCTCCTCGGCGCCCGCGCGCCGCGCAGCCGGCCGGCTCTGGGCGCGGCGCGGCGTGCCCGCCCGCCAGGCCCCTGAAGGGGTTGGCGGTGGCTGCACCCTGTTTTTGAGTCGGACGTGCCCCTCTACAGGAGGAATATTCAAAACTACTCAAAACATAGTCTGGGGCTTAGTGGGCCCCGGAAACGACAGGGCCGTTTTTGTTACCGGTTCCGCTTTGCCGTTTTTTGGCCGGTTCCGACGCCGTTTTTGTACCGGTTCCGTCGCCGTTGTTTGACCGTTTCCCGCTCCGGTTCCAATCTTGGAGCCGTTTTTTTGCCGTTTCCTGTCGCCGTTTTTTTCCGTTTCCATTTTCAAGGGACATTTTTCTGGAAACGGTGAATAAATGGCCCTGCCGTTTCCGGGGCCCACTAAGGTTTGGGGACGTTATGGCTTGATCATTGTTTTGAGTATGTTTGGATGTTTCTGTTGCGTACTTGCTTTTCTTTGTTCGTCCCAGATCCGCCTGTCGGGGGACACGCCCGACCTAACTCTTGTCCAGAGGGGTCTATGCTGGCGGAACGAGCACTCGATCAGCTGTCGGTGAGGTAATCAGCTAGAGGACCAACACGTCGGGGTCGTCGTCGTCGTCGTGGATCGGAGAGGCTGTTTCTCGGCCGCCGGGCAGAGAGACTGTCGTTCGTGGTTTGGGGGGAATGGGGCGAAGCAGATCACGTCTGATGCCTGTGTTGCTAGTGCTACCAGTGCAGCCTGGTTGCTCTGATCGGCGTCGGGAGAAAAAGGAGGTGGAGGAGGAGGATCCGAATGATGGGGAGGAGCGCAAAGCTGAACGAGGAGTGCGCCGATCTCCCAGCCACGCTCCCGTAGGACGACGATCTTGACGATGACGACGACCTCGGCGACAGCGACAAAGTTGGCGGCGGCGGCGACGCCGATCTTGCTGCCGCTGGCGTCGACGACCTCGACGACGTTGACGACCTCGACATCAATAGCGACGGCGAAAACCTCGCAGACGACTTCGGCAGCGCAGACGCCGACTGCGGCGAGCCGCTCCCGCCCCCCCGCGAGGCGGACGCAGCCGACACCGTCCCGGCCGCCGCCGGCTCCGCACCAGGGCGATTTCCCGATCGCGGACTGCGCGTCGCGCCGTCGTCGCCGATGGCCACGGCCGTCGTTGTCAGCGGCCGCCGCCGTCGACGTCGTCGTCGGCGAGGGCGGCCGCCGTGTCCGGCGCTGGCGGCGGACGCGGGCCGTCGTCGCAGGCAGCGGTACGGCGTCGGCGTCGCTGGTGCCAGCGCCGCAGGCGGGGGGGGGAGAAGTCAGGAGAGGGAGAAACACACAGACACAAGTACTCGTCGACTCTCAGGAAAACATGGGAAAACATGGGAAATGGGGGGAAGACAGAAACCCAGAACATGTAGGAAAATATGGGACAGCCTTTTATTTGTGTGTATTTGCCTGTGTGTCCCGGGGCCTCTTCAAGAAGGCCCTGCGCCGTGTGCCTGGCGCGCGCCTCGCCCTGCGGCGAGGCCTCGGTGGTGGCTCCTCCTCGTCGTCGGGCCCCATCGGCGACGGGCCCGGGGGGGCGGCGAGGAGGAGGAGGCCTTCTCGGCAGGCTCGGAAGCCTCCCGGGCCTTCCCCGAGGGCAGGGGCAGCTCCTCAGAAGGGCGGAGGCCTTCTGAGAAGGTCAGCCGCCTCCTGAGAAGGCCTTCGCCGCATCGCTTCCCCCCCTCGCTCCCCGCCGACCCCGAAGATCCCGGCGTCTCGGCGCGACCCAGGGCGCGCCTTCGGTGGGGCTGCGTTCGGCGTCGTCGCCGTCGTCGTAAACGACGCCGCTGTCGTCGTAGACTTCGAGGTCGTCGTCGTCGTCGTCGTCGTCGTCGTCGTCGTGGAGGTCGTCGAGGTAGTCGTCTCTGAGCTGGGCCACGCCGACGGCAGCGAGATCGTCGTGGCCGCCATCGCACCAGTCCTCGTGCACGTTGCCGAGGTCGCCGTCGCTGAGGTCGTGGTCACCGAGATCGCCGTCAGCATTGCCACTGCCGTAACGCCGCTGCCGTCGTCTTCGTCGAGGTCGTTGCCGTCGGCGTCGGCGTCGGCGTTGCCAGTTGCAGTCGGCGGCGGCGGCGGCGGCGTCGCGATAGGCGCGACCGCCCGCCGCTCGTCGGGGTTCCTCGGGCCTCCGGAGGCCAAGTTGTGCCTGGGTCCCCCGGGGCCCCGACCGAGAGAGCTGCCTTGGGCGAGAGTCGGCGGCGACGACGACGACCTCGGAGCCGTTTGCGACGATGGCGACGACGCTGAAGGCAGCCCCACCGAAGGCGCGCCTGCCATGGGTCGCGCTGACTGAGAAGCCGGGATCTATGGTCGGCGGCGGCCAGCGAGGGGGGGAAGTGAGAAGGAGAAGACCTTCTCAGAAGGCGGCGGGGCTTCTTAGAAACCCTCCGGCCTTCCGAGAAGGCTTTTTCCGAGAAGGCTTTTTTTTTTTTTTTTGTTTTTTTTCTTTTTCCCCTCGCTCGCCGCAGAAGACACGGCCCGTGAGTGCTCCAAGAGAGCTCCCACGAATGCCCCAACAGGCCAAACATTGCCCCGCCCCTTCAGCAAAAATTGTGCTTTGAACTCATGCGCTGTTTCGGTCTAGACTGCGTCCAAAACGACCTACAAGGTTCCCGAAATCCCGGAGAAGGAAGTTCACCAAAGAGGGCCCCAACAGGCCAAGACTGCTCCATTCTTTCAACGAAAGTTTGCATTTTCAACACAGTCGCTTCTGCGGTCCTGTCCGCGTCCAAGCTCTCACATTCGCTCCCCAAAGATGGCCCAGGAGGCCCCGAAGATAGCCTGAAGACGGCGCGAGAGGGCCCCAAGACGGCCCGAGAGGCGCCTCAGAGGGGGAATTCTATCTGTCCTTCCGGACACAAGGCCCCAAGACAGCCCCATAGGGCCCGCCCGAAGGTGCCAAGGGAGCTCCCCAAGAGCCCCCAACAGGCCAACATTGCCACATCCGTTAAAAACCGTGTATTTTCACCACATGCGCTTTTTCGTTCTCAACAGCGTCCTAGACGGCCCAAGAGGCTCCCAAGGTGGCCCCCGAACGGCCCAAGAAGCCCCAATATAGCCCGAAGGCGGCCTCAGAGGATCCCAAGACGGCCCAATCTGCGCCCACCAGGGGGAACTCCACATGAAATGCCGCACCCTCCGCCCCAAGATGACCCCCAAAGACCGCCAGCAGCTTCCTCATGCTGCGTTCCTTGTTTTTGTTGGCAGCGCCACCACTGTACAAGAAATTGGGGACACCTCGGGCCAGGCCCAGACCAGCTTCATCGGGAACAGATGACGACACAATCATGAACTTTCGGAAGTTCTCGCGGATATCTCGAATCGGCGTTGGAGCACGGAGGATGGCCCATTGTCGGTTCAGGACATCCTTTGCGTTTCGATCACGAGCGCCGCCCCTGCACACGACGAGGTGGTTGCAGAGATTGCGCGCCGCGGCGCATAGACTGTGATGAGGGAGGGGAGGAGGAGGTAGAAAGGAGCACCTGTTTTGCCCTTCGCTTCGTGCACTACAGAGCACTGGCGTCATCAGCCAGCACCTGCCCTTCGGACTCGATCCGAGGCGTTGCCGATGCTGATCCGGCTCGACTGAACAAGATGGAAAGGAGAGGCGGAGATTGAACAGGAGGAGCGGGAGGAGATGGAGAGAGAAGCGTCGAGGGAGGATCGTGACGAAGGATGGATGGAGGGAGGTGCGAGGGGATAGGGAAGGATTGCGAGGATGATGACTTGGAAGCGGTGGATGTTAATTTTGACGGGGAGAAGGACTGGGTAGGTGAATATGCACTGTTGGAGAGGAGAACGGTGAGGTGGAAATAGAGAGGGAGGAGTAGGGAGCATGATGCAGCTTCTGATGGCTACGGGGCACAATGACGGATGATGGGGGATGAGGTGGATAGTGAGGTGCAAGGGGAGGAGGGAGGGTTGGAGGGATGGTTGCAGAAGGGGAAGACGATGAGCATGCGGCCAGAGGAGTAGACCGACGGGTGGATGATGAAGGGAGAGCAGACGAGGGCCCGTTGTGGATGAGATACGGGCTTGCAAGACAGCGTCCGTCGACTGGCCACGCCTCATGAGTCATGAAGAGAGGGACGCCCGAGGGGCCCGCCGAGGAGGCAGGAGCGTGGGCTCCAGGATCCAGGGACCGAGGGGGATCGGGGAGGATCGAGCATCGAGGAGCATCGAGGAGCATCGAGGAGCATCGAGGAGCATCGAGGAGCATCGAGGAGCATCGAGGAGGATCGAGGAGGATCGAGGTCGGAGGACGAGAGGGCGAGGGGCTTGGTCGGGCGGGCGGGGGCGCAGCGCGCAGTCTCGCAGAGCTGCCGCGGCGCCGCGAGGAGGGCGCCGCCGCCGCCGAGCCCTCCGAGGCGCTCGCCTCCCTGCGGCCGCCGTCGTCGCCGCCGTCGCATCTTCGCCGTGGGGGGCAGGCGGCCCATTGAGCAGGCGATGCTCCTGTCGCCGAGTGCGTTCCACTACCCGCAAAGGCGCCTACTCGCAGACGTCCGAACAACAGGAGGGGGAGGAGGAGGAGGAGGAGGGGGAGGGGGGAGGGGGAGGAGAGGAGGGAGGAGGAGGAGGAGGAGGAGGAGGAGGAGGAGGAGGAGGAGGAGGAGGAGGGAGGAGGTGAAGGAGGAGGAGGAGGTGGAGGAGGAGGAGGAGGAGAAGGAGGAGAGGAGGGGGAGGAGGACGAGGGGAGGAGGAGGAGGGGGGGGAGGGGGAGAGGCGCCTACTCGCAAACGTCCGAAAAACCACACGTCTGCCTTGGTGCGTGTGACATGTCGTAGCTCCTCCGCGGCGGATCCGGGCCATTTGCGAGCAGTGACTCTGCGAGCAGTGGGACGCGCTTGTCGATTCTGGGAGCGCCTCCCTTCAGGCGTGCTCGATCTCCGCTGGGTCGCCGCCGTTCTCGCCCATCGGCGCCTATACGCTTAGGCTCGTGACCACCGGCGGCCTGGAGTCGTGCAGCCTCCCCGTGTCGCCCTGGGGGAAGCGGGCCCCTGTGGGAAGCGGGTCCCAGGGCTGTGCGCCGCCTTCGGGCTCTCGAGGGCCCTCCGCGGGCCCCGAGGAGGAGGAGGAGGAGGAGGAGGAGGAGGGGGAGGAGGAGGAGGAGGAGGAGGAGGAGGAGGAGGAGGAGGAGGAAGGAGGAGGAGGAGGAGGAGGAGGAGGAGGAGGAGGGGAGGAGGGGGGAGGAGGAGAGGAGGAGGAGGAGGAGGAGGAGGAGGAGGAGGAGGAGGGAGGAGGAGGAGGAGGAGCGGGAGGAGGGGAAGGGAGGAGGAGGAGGAGGAGGAGGGAGGAGGAGGAGGGGAGGAGGAGGAGGAGGAGGAGGAGGAGGAGGATGGGGGAGGAGGGTGGAAGGAGGAGGGAGGAGGAGGAGGAGGAGGAGGAGGAGGAGGAGGAGGAGGAGGAGGAGGAGGAGGAGGAGGGGAAGGAGGAGTAGGAGGAGGAGGAGGAGGAGGAGGAGAGGAGGAGGAGGAGGGGAGGAGGAGGAGGAGGAGGAGGAGGAGGGGGGGAGGAGGAGGAGGGAGGAGGAGGAGGGGAGAGGAGGGGGAGGAGGGGGAGGAGGAGGGGAGGACTGGGAGGAGGAGGACTGTCAGAGAACGGCTCGGGAGCCCCGGGGTCCAGGGCCCGTTGCCCCCCAGGGCCCACTGCCCCCCAGGGCCCACTGCCCCCCTGCTGGGCATGTCCGCCGGCGTGTTGGCCTCGGCCTCGTGGTCGCCGCTGCCGTCGCCGCTGCCGTCGCAGCCGTCGTGCTCGCCGCAGGCAGCACGGGGAGCTGTGGGAGGCACCCCCTCTGGGGCAGCGCCTTCACCCGTTTTACCTCCTCCTCCCACTCCTCCCCCTCCCTCCTCCTCCTCCTCTCCTCCTCCTCCTCCTCCTCCTCCTTCTCCTTCTCCTCGTCCTCCTCCTCCTCCTCCTCGTCCTCCTGCTCTCCACCTTTTCCTCCTCCTTCTCCTCGTCCTCCTCCTCCTCCTCCTCCTCCTGCTCCTCCTCCCCCTCCCCCTCCTCCTCCTCCTCCTTTTCCTCCTCCACCTCCTCCTCCTTTACCACTCGGCCGCACTTCACGAGGACGGACCACCCCGCCCTGAACAGAGGGAAACCGACCTCAGCCCCCTAAACCGTTGATTCTGCATGTCAACGTTCTGCAGGTGTGGCCAGGGTGCGTAAAGTGCAGGCGCCATGCAAGCGAGGCTATTGCCGTACACTTGGTCTAAAGTTCCTCGTGTGGGGTGCGGGGGTCGCTTCTCATGCGCTCACGCTCGTGCCCCCGTAGATTGGGCCCTCGATGGAGCTGGTCGTCGGCGATCGTGAGGTCGCCACGGCTGCAGTGTGGAGCAGCTAGTGTGAGGACGATAGTTAGGACTACTTTTGAGCATGTTTGGCGTTTTTTCCTAACATTCGGATTTTTCGCCCAACATAAATCCCCTTGTAGGGCGACAGGCCCGACCTGACCCTTGGCGCGGTTGCGGCCAAAGGAGGGCCGCATTCCTGCCGTGGCGCTCCCTCGGGCATCACGGCGGCTGCCCCTCTCGTCGTGTCCCGCTCCGCCGCCGCCGCCGCCGAGCTCGGATCTCCTCTGCCCCAGGCCCAGGCCCGCGCCCCTCCAACAAAACAATCCGCGCGAGGGGCCGCGGGGAGGCCCAGGCGGCACGCGCCGAGGCCCGGGAGGTTTTGAAGTTTGGGCCCTGGCCCCCTGAAAGGATCCTCGGGAGTGAGGACTGGGAGGAGGAGGAGGAGGAGGAGGAGGAGGAGGAGGAGGAGGAGGAGGAGGACTGGGAGGAGGAGGAGAGGAGGAGGAGGAGGAGGAGGAGGAGGGGAGGAGGAGGAGGAGGAGGAGGAGTGAGGAGGAGTGAGGAGTGAGGACTGGGAGGAGGAATGAGGAGGACTGGGAGGAGGAGGAACGAGGAGGACTGGGAGGAGGAGGAATGAGGAGGACTGGGAGGAGGAGGAGGAGGAGGAGGAGGAGGAGGAGGAGGAGGAGGAGAATCAGGGGATGAGGCGCCCGACCTGAGGACACGCCCGCTCTGTGCCCAGAGGCGCGGTGGCGGATCATCGCCCCCGCTCCCTGGAGTGCCAGGGGGGGTTGGCCGCGGCGCGTCTGGGGGCTCCAGGGGGGGGGTCGGAGCTCGTTCCCTCCCCACTGGGGCGCGGGGGATGGTGCCGGGGGGGGGGTGGCGGCGCCGCGTTTTCACGTCCGTCGTCCCCCTTGTTGATGAATAAGAAGTTCGGATTTTATGACGTGCTCTGTTCTGACGTGTTGGTGTGTTATGCACAGCAATGGTATGTCATGTTAGAGTTTCCCCCGCCCAGACTGGACGGTGTATGCCACACCTGTCAGTTTTGTCATATTTGTCGACGAAGTGGGAGGCAGGGGGCCCAGAGATAATCGTTTGAGGTCGGGATGTTGCGGCCGCGGTATGCTTTAGTTCAAGTTTCGGTGAGGCGCAATCGTGCAGTCCACGCGTGTTTCTTCGATTGGTCTTTACGTTATCCAGCATTTCTTCTGATCTTGATGGTTGGTCAGCCTCTAGGCCCGCACTGGTTCATCTAGCAAGGCTTCTGCAAATGTGTTGCTTTGTTTTGCAAATTGCATGCGTTCACAGTGTCTGCGTGCCTTCTCGTACATGTCATAGTTTAGATCGCCTGGCCAGTGCTCAACCTTTGCTAGAAGAGGCGTCGGCCCAGTGCTCTCTTTTAGTTGGTAAACCAAGTGCCCAGAAGGGGCGTGGGTTTGGCCCTCTCCCGAGAAGGGAAAGGGTGGGTTTGACAGAGGCACGAACACCGCTGGTGAAATCGGGGGATGGATTCCTTCTGTTCATTCTCTGGGGGGGCCTTCAGGATAAGACCTTCAACAGCCTCTGCTTGCCTGCTCGCTTTGCCTGTCTATTCTCTGCCGGAGGAGGAGGAGGAAGAGGAGGAGGGAGGAGGAGGAGAAGGAGGAGGAGGAGGAGGCCTCTTGGTCGCCTCTTGGGGCCTGTGGGCCTCTTGGAGGGTTGTGGGGGCCTTTGGGGGCTTCTCAGGGGCCTCTTTGGTGGGCTTAGGGCGTTCCTGGCTTTTCTGACGCCGTCGGAAGCCGTCTTGGGGACCTGTCATGGTCGTCTTGGGGCCCTTTTTGGGCATTTCAGGGGTTCTTATTGCCCATCTTGGGCGTCTTGGAGGCCTCTTGGGCCGTCTTGGGAGCCCTCTTGGGGCAGTCTCGGGGGCCTCTTGGGCCGTCATGGAGCCATCTTGGAGATGCCTTGGGCGATCTTGGGGCAACCTTGGGGGCCTCTTGGGCCGTCGGAAGGTCGAAAAGGCGGAACTTCCAAAATCCTTCAAGCACCTGCGAAAAAAACAATGTTTTTTTGCCTCGTCGGGCCCTCGTTGAGGACCTCTTGGAGACCTCTGGGGCTGTCTTGGAGGCCTCTTGAATGCCTCTTAGGCCGTCTTGAGCCATCTTGAGACGATCTTAGGCCGTGTTGGGTGCATTTTGGGCCGTCTGGGAGGCGTCTTGAGGCCATCTTAGCTGTCTTGGAGGCCATGTTGGCCGTCTTGGAGGCATCTCGGAGGCCATCTCGGGCCATCTTGAGCGAAAAAGCCGACGAGGCGGGCAGCTGGCGGAACGGGCCGGAGCCCCAGGGGGAGTTTGGAAAAATAACCAAAACAAAATCCGAGCGGATTCAGCACGCCAGGCACCCCTGCGATGAATCGACAGGGGGCGGCGGGTCCTAGTGGCCTTCGGCCCATCCCGCCATCGTGCCTGGGTTGTGGGTCTGAGGACTCCTGTATATGTGTTGGGGTGCCGTGGGAGGCCTCTCGGGGGCCTCTTGGAGGCGGTTTGGGCGCCTCTTGGGGGCCTCTTGGGGCCTCGTGGGGTATCTTTTGAGCTTCTTCGAGGCCTCTTTGGCGCGTCTTGGGCGCCTCTTGGGGCCACTTGTAGCCTCTTGACGGCCTCTTGGGGCCTCCTGGGGGCTACTCGGGGCCTCGGGGACGCGAATGTGTTTTTCGCGCGGGATTCTGTCCTCGGGAACGGGAACGTGGTGTAATTTACAAGAGATCGTGGTCTCGGGGGGCGATTTTGGTGCAATTCAGAAAGGATCGTCCTCGGGGGAGCGACTGCGGCGTAATTTAGTGGCCTCAGGAGCGTGAGTACAGTGCATGTTGCAAGGGATCGTGGCTTCGAGATGGCGAATACAATGTAATTTACGAATGATCTTGGCCTCGGGGGCGCGAGCACACTGCAATTTACGAGGGAGTGTTGCGCTGGGACCGCGCATATATGTGTTTTTACGTGCCCCAGTGCCCCCCCAAAACATCAGAGCACGCGATTCAGGGGTGCTAAAAAATTTTGGTTTTCGGCTCCCCCCCTCGCGCGGACAGCAACAAGTTTCAGCAAGAAGCAGAAAGCAACACATCAGAAGCTGTGCACCGGAACTGGTGCAGGATGCAGCAGACCTGGTCCTCGCAGCCGGATAGCCGCGCAAAAGGGGGCCTGCGGAGTGTGGAGTGGTGTTGAGTACTTTCTGAGTATTCCGCTACCTTTCCTCCCACATGCGCCTCTGGGGGGGCACGCCAGACCTAAAAGTAGGGGAACTCCTCCTCCTCCTCCTCCTCCTGCTCTTCCTCCTCATGTTCCTCCTCCCTCCTCCTTCCTCCTCCTCCTCCTCCGTTCTCCTCAGTGGCCGCCTCTCTTCCCTAGGGGGTCTCGGGAGTCTGCTGCATCGTGTGAGGCCGAAATGCGTGGGATCTGTGCCTTTTTCCCTGTGTGTCTCCCTGGGCCCCTCTGAACGTCGCCCTCCACGACCGCCAGCACTCGGCGGCGAGCGGAGGGGGGAGATGAGAAGGGGCGGCGGGCCTCCCCAGAGTGCTGGGAAGTCCCCCGGCCTCCCGAGAAGTGCTCTGGGCTTCCCCCTGGAGACACAGGGCACACTCCATGAGGCCCGAGGCCCCAGAACACACTCTTCGCAAGACACAGAGCACACCCACACCCACACCCACACCCACACACCCACACACACACGCACACACCCACACCCACACCCACACCCACACCCACACCCACACCCACACCCACACCCACACCCACACCCACACCCACACCCACACCCACACCCACACGCACACGCACACGCACACGCACACGCACACGCACACGCACACGCACACGCGCACACACACACACACACACACCCGTAGCCATTTTGGCTCAAGATGATTTGTTCCACAGGGGAACGAGTGGATACCGCTAGTCCGCGGCCAGTGCCAGGGCTTCTCCGCCCGACGGTTTTGTTTCGTGTGTTGGCAAGGGGTAGGCTGTGCGCTGCCCACTCGCCATGTCCAGTGCCTCGCAGAGGGCCAGGTCTGAGCCGCGGGCCAAGGGCGGCGGTGGCAAGGGCAAGAGCAAAGGAGTTGGCAAGGCAGGCAAGACCAACGCGAGCGGAGCCAACCCCCTGGACTACGTCCGCTGTGCGAACTGCTCGTACAAGTGGAACTTCAAGGCCAGGGTGGAGTGCTACAACTGCAAGAAGCCGCTCAAGCCTGCCGCAGTGGACGAGCCTCCGCAGCTACGGGCATCGGCGTGGTCATTCGTGCGCGAGCCGTGGGTGCGGCACTCTGACGACTGGTTCAGGTACGAGGCGCCGCCACCGCAGCCCGCCCCGCCGTCGGATGCAGAGTGCCTCGCGGCGTTGGCGGCCAGGCATCCCGAGCACGGCCAGCAGCTCGAGGCCATCAAGATGGCAGTCGCACCACCGCCCGTTGCGGCCACGGTGTTGCCAGATGTGGCCCTCAACCGCGCCCGGGCCAAGCAGCGGCGGGCTCAAGCCGCCTTCCTCTCCAAGTCCCAGCAGGTCCACGACGCCGAGCAGTGGCTCCAGGCCTGCCGCGAGGAGGAGGTGCGTGCTGGTGAGCTCGTCCTGGCGTGCAACGTGGAGGTGGAGGAGGCCTACAAGGCAGCAGCGCCCAAGGGCGTCCAGGTGCAGGCGCAGGAGGCGCAGGAGCCTGGCGCCAAGACTCAGCCTGCCGTGGGCCTCAACGTCACGGCGCTTTTGGCGGAAGACTTCCAGGTCGAGGCAGGCGACGCCTTCAGGCTGGACGACCCCGACCTGGACATCACCGACACGGAGCGCGAGGAGTTCAACAAGTCCCTGGAAGGCTTCGTCGAGCAAGTCAAGCAGCACGTGCGCACCACCTTCGGTGAGGCCAAGACGCAGCTGGAGCAGAGGCGCAGCGAGATCGACGCCAAGCACCAGCAGCTGCTGGCCAGGCGCAAGCGGCCTCGCACCGAGGCGGCAGGAGCAGCAGACCAGACGCCAGCCCAGGCGCCAGCCGCAGGCCCTGCGGCAGCAGGCCCCGCGGAGGCCCCAGCGGCCGCCGCGGCCCCAGCCCAGGCCCCCACCCCTGGGCAGCCTGAGGCCCCTGCTCGGCCTCCTGTTGCTCACCCTCCAGAGCCACCCAGCCTCCGCGGCCCCGATGGCGCAGCCAAGTTGGCTCAGCTCAGGCGGGACTTGGCAGCAGCAGCCGCCGTTCCAGCTGGGGGCGCAGATGCGTAAGGCCCAGTCCTGGGGACCTGATGCGCCGCCGGAGGCCAAGCCACGAGAGCCCAGACTCGTCCGCCTGGGCAGGCGGGAGCGGGCCATCCTGGCCACGCGTACGCGCCGCATGGCTCGGCACTGGCGCCCTACCCCGTCGCTGGGGACCACGGCTCAGGACCGCAGGCACTGGGACTCCTACTGCGTGCCGTACATCTTCCACCAGCTGGGCTCTGGGGAGTACACAGCCATGCTGGACGACCTGGCAGCCACCACGGGCAGCGGATCCCGAATTGCCGAGCGCATGAGGATTGCACGGGAGTTGGGTGACGAAGCCTGGAACCGTGGAGGGGATGCCAGGCGCCTCCAGCGGCAGTGGTTGGAGCATCTGCAAGTGGCTAATCAGGATGCTTTCGAGCGTGAGGCGGCTCAGCAGGACCGCGCCCAGTCAGCCGCGGAGCGGTGGTTCGACCGCCAGCCCCAGGCGACGTCGGGAACGCAGGCCCCCACCGTCTACTTCGACGACCGCATCCACTGCTGGAGGTTGTGCGCCGCGAAGGTGCTGGAGGCCGACCTCGGCCCATCCACCTCGTCTGGGACCTCGGAGGAGCCGCTGCGTTGCTCTGCCTCGCCCGTTGAATGCACCGAGCTCACTCCCACCCCAGCCGCGTGCAACCTCACGGACGAGCACCGAGGAGCTGCCCCATGTATTTCAGCTGGTGGTCTCTCTGCCGTCCGAGGCAGCCCAGATCAGCTTACGTCAGTTGGTGGTTTCTCTGGCTCAGCTGTTTCAACGGGCGATGGTCTCTCGGCCGCTGGTGGCACCCAGGCGCAGCTTATTTCAGTCAGTGGTGTTTCGGGCTCTACAGTTTCCACGGATGGTGGTTTCTTGGCCGCTGGAGGCACCCAGGTGCAACTTACGTCAGGCCGTGGCCCCTCTGGCTCAGATGCCTCAACTGTAGATGGTTTCTCTGTCGCCGTTGGAGGCGCTCAGGAGCAGCTTACGCCAGTTGGTGGTTGCTCGGGCTTTGCTGCTCCCACAGGCGGGCCTTTCTTGGCCGCTGGAGGCCCTCAGGCGCAATTTACGTCAGATGGTGGTTTCTCGGACCCAGATGTTACAGCAGGTGTTGGTGGCTCTGCCCACGGAGGCAGTCAGGCGTTGCTTACGTCAGTTTTTGTTTCTGCAGGCTCAGCTGTCTCATCTGGGGAAAGCCACTGCGGCCCTGGGCAGCCTAACATCATCGAGATGGCCCATGAGACTGTGGCACACCCTACCGAGGGCGGGGACGTCAGTGTCGGCAGTGTTGGCGGCCAGTCCACCGGCAGCGGGACTTCGGCAAAGCCCCAGTGCGACGTCGCCAAGTATCGACCCTCAGCAGCAGGAGCCCGCAGAGGCAAGCGTCGACAGCGGAGCCACAGGCGCTTCACCTTCCACAGCGTCAATGCCAGCCTCAGCTGGGGCAACGTTGTGGGCTACCTCCACGGCGCGGCACACCAGCAGCTCACCGAGGGCAAGATTCCGATCATCGGTTTCCAGGAGCACGGCAAGCGGCGCTTATGGGCCGAAGAGAGCGCACGGGCCCTGCTGCCCTTGGGCTGGAGGGCCCTGCCCACGCCAGCGACGGACGGCCCGAATGGAGGGGCCTCGGCGGGCGTCTTGCTGGCGATACCTGCCTGCGTCGGCGTCGCTCTTGCATCTGGACAGCGACACTGGGACATATCTCCCCCAGGTTGTGCAGGCAGGCTCCTGATGGCCACCCTCGAGGCCAAGGGCATCGGCAAGTTACTGGTTTTCTGTGCGTATTGCTTCACTGGTCAGACGTTGGCGTCTTTGGGCAATTCAGTTCAGCTCTCCTGTCAGTTATCACGGGGTGGGCAGTCCAGCTCCAGCTGCGTTGGATCGTCATCGCGGACTGGGAGAATCTACCTGACGCTTTGGAGCGTTCGCCGTGGAACAACCAGCTCAGAGGCCGCGTCGTAGCGTGGCAAGGGGAAGGGGGCACCAACCGCTCCCCGCACGGTGAGCGCGTGATCGATTATTTCTGGATGCACTCCAGTTTGGCTGCCAATATTTCCCCAGCCCGCATTGACGACGACGCGGTCTACCACCCTCATAGAGCCACATGGGTCGAGTTTCAGCAGCCTTGGTCGGCCTTTACCTACACCAAGCTCATCCGACCCCACAAGTTCCCGATCCCAGGAGTCAAGCCGAGGCACTTCGATCTCTCGTGCCCAGACGTGCCTGCAGGTTTCGACCCCGATGCGGTGCCTACCCAGGAGCTCCTGGACGACACCTGGGAGGCTTTCTGCCACGCCGCCGAGGAGGAGCTGATCCAGAAGGTGGGTTTGGACCCCAGCAGTCGGCAAGCCGATCAATGCCGAGGGCGTGGGGGACCACCGCGCTTCAGGAAGTGCCCGTTGCTCCCGACCCACACCGAGGCCATCGCTTCGTACGGGGAGGCCAAGCGTTGGAGGTGGTTTGCCAACGAGTTGGCTTGGCTGGGCATCATTGAAGTAAAGCTTTTCAGCTACACGGGCGCTTCCGACCTGGTCCTCACCACGTTGCACCAGCAGCGGCACGCCTCCATCCGCAAGTTGCGTGACCGCTTCAGGCACCACATGCTGTTAGAAGGCGTGGCTGAGCTGCAGGAGTTCTTCGAGGTTTTCACGTCTCGGGACCGCGGCTATGAAGACTTGCAGGAGCTCTCGGCTTGGCACCTCAGCTGCAGTCAGTATGCCTCGTACTTGGAGTGGCAGATCGGCAAGGAACGACGAGATTCCTTCAAGCAGCGGTTGGAGGACGACTTCCCAGGCTCGCAGGGGCTCCTCCACAGGGTCACCAAGTGGCGCCAGGCTTGGCAGGGTCCCAAGGGCAGCATCTCCAAGAAGCTGCTCCCAGCGGCGCCTCAGGCCGCCGTGGACCAGGAGTTGCACGACTGGTCGAAGGTCTGGACCACTGGCTCCGGTTTCCCCAAGCCGTGGAGGGGCCTCCAGCAAGTCGCCGTCACGCCGCCCAGCCCTCACCACCTGCGCGCTTTGGCCCAGCGTTTCAGGGCCAAGACGGGGATTGGCGTGGACGGATGGCAACCCAAGCTTTGGGCCTACCTCACGGACGGCACGCTCTCGGTGCTCGCGTCATTGCTGGCCTGGTGCCAACAACTGGGGCGGTGGCCGTCCCAGGTCCACCTCCTGCTCGTTTTCATCATCGGGAAGCTCGATGGAGGGGGCCGACCCATCATTCTTCTACCTGGCCCTTGCCGAATCTGGGAGGCGTGGCAGCTGCCCACCATCAGGAGCTGGTTGGCGGCGCACCCCAGGAGCTACGACTACACGGCGGCGGGCCAATCATCGGAGCGTGCGCTGTGGAAAGCTTTGTTGGACGACGAGCTCGTGTTGGGCACAGGCATACGTGCGGCCACGATGCTGGCGGACCTCGCCAAGTGTTATGAGAAGGTTCCGCATGAGCGTATGTGGTGGCTAGCAGCTTGGTGGGACGGCCCGCTGGAGGTGGTCGCGCTCGCCCTGGAAAGTTTCGCCTTTGGCCGTGTCATTCGTCTCGGGGAGGCCTGCTCGGCGGAGGTCCTGTCCTCCACAGCGCTCCCAGCGGGCAGCCGTTTCGCGCCCACCTTCCTGAGGTTCTACCTCACGCTGTGCTTAGACGACCTGCTGGGGGTTTTCCGCCTCACGATCTACTTGCACGTTGATGACATCGCCCTGCGGGTCATGTCCACCGAGGCGCGCGTCTTGCACATGCTGCCGCAGGCCACGCGCTTGCTGTTTTGGATGCTGGAGTCCTTCTTGGGCCTGGAGGTAGCCCGAGCGCGGGACGGGGCGAGAGGCAAGTGCTCTTTCCTGCAAACGGCCACTCCGTCTTCAGGCTTGACGCAGGCCATGGCCGTCCTGGGAGTACCGCCCAGCACCTCCGAGCGGTGGCTCGGCATCGACTACGGTCCCAGCGTCAAGACAGAGAACCAGTCAGCCCCAGTCAGACACGCGCGGCTCAAGATAGCCAAGCAGCGTTGGCCTAAGATCCGCGGCCTTCCTCGTGCACGCGGGGGCAAGCTCGAGATGGTCGTGCGGCAGGGCCTCGGAGCCTCGGTCGCCTACGGCGCCCGTGTCCGCGGCGCGCCCGGGCCCATCGTGCGTTTCATACAGCAGAAGGATCGGGCCGTCCGCAGGGGCGCCACAGCTTTTACCTCCCGAGTCTTGCACAACGGCCTCGACCCCAGTTGCGCCGACACCCTCGTTCTGGCACCGCTGCTGGCTTTGGCGAGGGAAGCTTGGGACCACCCAGAGGGGCGGCGTGCGCAGGCCACAGCATGGGCCCGAGTGCAGCAACAGCTCGCGCTGTACATGGACGCCGACGCTCAGGAGTTGTGGTCAGTGGTGCGCGGCCCAGCGGGGGCCACTTCAGTCACAGTTCGAGCCCATGGTTGGAGCATGCCGTCAGCCTTCGAGATTGTCTTGCCTCCACGTGGCGGGGTGCTCCAAGGAGGGGACGTCCATCTTAATCTACTGCAGATTTGCCCCAAGTCGGTCGAGGCCGCCGTGCTTTTGGCCGCCCGTTCCAGAGCCCTGTGCCAGTGGGCGGCGGCTCAGCCCGAGCGGGCTGCGCTCCTGCCAGCGCCGTGGCTCACCCCAGCGAGGCAGTTGGTCAAGCGGCGCAAGCAGGACGGGTGGCTGCAACACCATGCCGACGCGGTCAAGAAGGCGGTGTTGGGCGGTTTCCCTTCGCAGGGGGCCCTTTTCTCTTCGGGCCAGGCGGGCACTCCGTATTGCCAGCTTTGCGACGACACGACCTGTTTCGGCACCCACCAGCACTATTACTGGCGGTGCGGCAGCCCGACGTGTGCTACGGTGAGGGAGCAGCTGACGGCCCACGACGCGTCACCTACCTTCAGAGACGTCGGCCACCTGGGCGTGTCGGCCTCCTCGTCGGAAGCCTCAAGATGGTTGTGGGAGCGGGGTTTGCGGCGAACCCCATGTTACGGCTTGGCTTGGAGTCTACCGTCGCAGCGCACCCATTGGATCGTCAATGGCGCGGCCCCCGAGCTCACCGATGTGCTGGTTTCGGACGGATCAGTCAAAGGCTTGGATGACCTCAGGCACGGCGGCTGGGCGGCTTTGCAGTGCACAGCGGAGGCCGACGACGTGGTGCAGGGCCTGTACGGCCCACTGCCCTTTCCCGACCCCAGCTCGGTCCTGGCAGAGTTGTGGGGTCTCCTCCACGCCCTCAGGCAGTCGGTCTTCATCACGGCCATCATCATTGACAATGCTCAGGTGGTCCAAGGCTTGGCTCGTGGCAGGGCATGGTGTTGTTCAGCGGCCAGACCCTATGCGCACGTCTGGCTCGAGATCTGGGATCGCCTGGATGACATGGACATCCTTCCTGGCAGAGAGTTGTCGGTCATCAAGGTCGCCTCGCACATATCGCAGGCCAAACGCCTAGAGCTGCCAGAGCAGGTCCAGATTCACATGAGGCACAATGACTTAGCCGACGAATGGGCCAAGCAAGGAGCAGACCTCAGCGCGCCGCCAGAGTGGGCCACGTTGCAGGTCAAGCAGGAGCTCAAGGCCACCAAGCGCGTGCTCGAGTACATCGGGCACTTCAGGGTCCTCCTCGACGGGGTCAAGTTGGCGGAGCCTAGGCCCAAACGACAGCAGGGCCAAGAGGCCAACATTCCTCAGGCTGCACGACCCCAGGCTGGCCCCAGGCACCCGCACGTTCTGGAAGTGTGCCGCGGTTATTCCAAGTGCACCAACTGCGGCAAGGTTGCCCGCACTCGCCTCGCGGCCTTTCAGTTGCAGGAGTGCCGTGGTCGTCTCCAAGGGCTCCAGGGCAAGTTAGTCCAGAGTGCGGCCAAGAGAGGCAGTGTGGCGGTGCCTCTTCTCGTGGCGGCAGGCGCCGCCGCTCGGCCTGTGCGACAGCGAGCAGACCATGGGGATCAGGGTGAGCCTCGAGTAGAGCCCGACCCTGCGCCTGCCTCCCAGCTGGGCCCCGACCCGCTGTGGGCTCCTGTCGCAGCAGCCCGCGCGGCTCTTGGCAGGATGGAGCGGATACCTGACGGCCCTGTGTGCATGGGAACCCCGCCAAGCCAGCCACACATCACGCCCGAACAGCAGCATGTCCGTTCCATCATGGACGATGCCATCATCTGGGCGTCTTTCTGGATCGATCGTTTCGACGTGGCAGGCTTCACCAACGAGTGGGACTACCGTACGTGGTGTTCGGAATATCTTGAAAGGTTTCTCAGCTCGGCGGCGTGGGCACCAGTTCGAGAGCATCTTCTACGTAGCAACCCTGGCCGCACTCTCGGGCAGGTCGTCGACGACCTATGCGCCACCTCTTGGGCGCGTGCCGAACCAGCCCGTCAGGCTCAGTTCGCCAGGGTACGGCCTGACTCGGGCTTGACAGCCAGGCAGCGCCGTCGGCTGTTTCGGCATCACTTCGATGTGTTGAACCAGGTCAGGGAGCGTTTCAGGGATCTTCTTGGAGATCGTGCCCCGCCTGAGACGGCCTCCTGGCACCAGTGGGTCTTCGAGCCCCTTTCCTCGGATGACGACCAAGGAGGTGATGCGGCAGGCCGCGCCGCCGAGGACGCCCATGGCTACGACGATACCGACGAGTTCGCGGCCCTCAGCGCGCACAGCGACCTCGAGGTGGTGGAGGCAGACGGCAAGGCCACGCAGGCCACAGGCACCCAGGCGTCAGAGCGCGAGTCGTCGCCCAATCCCGACCTCGCCCCCAGGGCACTCCAGCCACAGGAGGAGGGAGCTCCAGCGGGAGGGGCGAGGCGGGAGGGTGTTTTGCGGATCCGCAGTGCGGCAGCCACCTGTTCCCAGGACGTGGGCGACGGTGCTGCGGCTGGCGCTGGGGCAGCTCCTGTTCCCACGGTGCCGCCTGCTGATCAACCCGCTGGCGAGCCTGGAGCTGATCAGGGCGAGTTGGCCAGCTCCCTGGACGTGGACGGCAAGGCTGCCACCCAGGCAGCGGCCGCTGTGTGCTCCGCCC